TTTCAATCTCCTGCATTATCATTTATGTCAATTTTATTCTACAGCATGGACAATAAGTGAGCAAAAATTGATCATATATTGACTGATTTTTCGTTCCGCAGCAGATACTTTATACAAAATAACAAATTTATCGTTATTTTATTATATATATATATGTGTGCGTGTGTGTGTGTGTGTGTGTGTGTATACACATATATACACAAATTATAAAATTTGAAGTAATTATTTTTGTGTACTTATAATCCCTAGATTTGTTATCTCAACCAGATAATATGTACAAATTTCAAAATTTTTCTTTTCGGGAATTTTGATAATTGGAGAATTTCGATATTGCTAATTCATTTGAAAAGTATTTTGTAAATTTTGTTACATTGATTATTGCCGACATGAGAATAACTTTGACCTGTCTAGAATTTATTTGTAATAATCTTTTAACAACAAATAATAGAAAATCAAAATTTTGGTCTAGTTCATGAATTTCATCTAATATAATGTGCGTATAATTCAATATATGTTAATGCTCAATTATATGTTGGAGTAGAATTTTGGTGATGTAGTTAAACAAATTTCAAGTGAAGTTTCCCTTTTCACGGTACTATATAGCTCGAGGCTATCAAGGCTACGAGGCTACCAAGATTCCAATTTCCTTCTTGGCTGACTCTTTTGGCAACACTTATCGCAGCAATTTGTCTTGGTTGCGTAACTATATTAATATTACAATTCTTGTATAATCTACATATTACTTTTCTCACGATTTAATAATAATACAAAAATAAAAAAATTTGATAAAAATATACCTATAACATCACAGTTAAGCCTCTTTTTCATATAAGTATTAAGAATCGTGGAATCTAAGTTATTTTTTCACAGCTGGTTGTTCCCTGAATAATGAGTACAGAATTTATCTTGATTATAGACAGTATCTTGTTTCTTTCAGTTAAGATAGATAAATCATTAAATTTTAGATTATAAGTAAAATTGCACTCTCGATAGATTTTAGCCAGATCTACATAGAGTTTTAGTAGATCATCTAATCCTGAGGATGTCATATTTAATTCTTCTCTATTTCCATCTTTACTATTCATATACTAAAAAAAAAAACAAATTTAATATAAAAGAATCCCTGTTCATATTATGTGATTAAATAAGAAACTATTTTACTCTGAAATACTCCTCGGCTTTTGTCTCTGTATAATTCTTTACAAACGTTTCTTTCATGATTTGTGTAGCCTTAAAGTTATTACTTCTCTGATTTGAGGAAGCCACAATTTTCAATTTGTTTCATACAGCTTTCTAAATGTAAAAAATGTTTTACTATTAATAAATATATTCCACATACAACTTTGTAATAGAGATAAAAAAAAAATTGGACAACGCAGTAGTAAATTCTTAACTCTTTGCTAAGGAATTATATGTTTACGTATAAGAACGTTGGTAAATGTCCAGTTTGAGTCCACCTACCTTCGATTTTGACAAAAAGGCTTCGACGCGTCTTTGCGTCTAAAACGAAAGAATCTGGCAGAAAAAAAGCATCGCTCTACCTCGCAAAACGAAATTAATCATTAAAGTTTACATTATTTAGGGTTAGGAAACCTGTCATATCGACGAAATGTATCGACAAGAGTTTCATCGTGTTTACAAATGCATGCGTTTCGATCGCTCCACGCAATTATTATTATTTTTTTTTCTTTTTTTTTTTTTAAATATACATGAAAATGATTAATTATAAACTTTGTTTTGGTTTAGAATTATTTAGAATAGCCTTGTTTCCTCAATGTGATAAAATTAAGCTTAATCGACGCGGTTTTGTTAGAAATAAAAAACTTTTGCAAAAAAAATGTGAAAGTTTGATTCGTGTTATAGTATATTAAGAGTTATTAAAATTATAAATTAAAAATTAAAAATAATGTAAAAATATTAAATATTAATAAAATAACAAAATAATATATAAAATTAATATTTAAAAATAAAATTAATATTTTATATTGCGGAATTCAAATTTTAAATTTAATTTAAATACGTAATTTTAAAATTTAATTTCTGAAATTCAACTTTAAATTAAATTTTAAATTTCAAATAAAATTTAAATTTTAATTTAAATTTAAGATTTAAAATATTAACAAAAATTTAAATAAAAAATTTTGTAGAATTATAGAATTAAAAATTTTTTGATTACAAAATTAAAAAAGTCGAATTTAAAAATAAAATTTAAATTTAAAAATCAATTCAGTATTTAAATTTGAATTCAAATTAAAATGGAAAAATGAAAAATAAAAATTTAAATTTAAATTAACAATTAATAAAAATTTTTGAATTTGAAATTTGAAAACTTTAATATTAGAATTAAAAATGTAAAAATTAATATTTAAAATATGAAATACATTAATATAAACAAAATTTAAATTTAAAATATGTA